GGGAAAGGGGGTTTTAAATTAAAAGGCCCTGGAGGCAGCCCGCGTGCTAGGTGGAAAGATGCGCCCCTGGCCCCGTGAGGAGAGGCTGCGACAGCGCCGGACTCCAGCTGCCGCGGGCACCAATGACCGCTGAAGAGTCGTTGGGCAGCTCTCAAGGCTGCGCAGCGGAGTGGCGGAGGGGCTGTGGATTCGGAGCCCCGCCCCTTGACGTCAGGGGACTCCTCCCCCTCCATCCTAGCAACCGAGCAGTTACCAAAGCGCAGGGAACGCCCCGGATGTGACGCCACGCCATTGTTCTCGGACAGGAAGCAGCGAAGCTTCCTGCGTTTTTGCCTAACAGACTAGCTGCAAACAAACTGAAGCATGGCCCCGCCTCCAAGCCAATCAGGAGCGAGCAGCGTTGGGGCAGAACGCGCCTATCAGAAAAAACAGGAGCACGGAAAGGTTCCCGCCCCTGTTCCCCAGCGAGCCAATCGGAGTCAGAAACTCCAAGAGGAGCACGCTTTCTCGGAAACAACGAACCAATCAGAAGAGAAAAAAGAAACTCGTTGAGCCCGCCTTCATCGTCTCAACTCGCCAATCAGAACCCGAATAAGAAGCGGCACTTACCTCCTCAGACCCCGCATCTAAGCAGTCGCGCGTCAATCACAAAGCGCGCGCCTGCGTCTGAACCGCCCAGCTGGGCCCCCGCCACCAATCAGTATCGGGAGGAACGGCGACTAGATATTCAAATCAATCCTCCCCCCACCCGTCCAAAAGTTGCCTCGACAACGTCATAAGGAGGCGGGGCCAGGAGGTAGAACTGTCCCGCCGGGAGGCCAATCAGTGGGCGGAGAAGGGGGGGGGGGAAGAGCCATTTAATAGGAAAGATTCCACCCAATAGCGAGAGGCGGAGGCGCCATATGCTAATGAGCCGTGCATATAAAAGAAGCGACAACAGCAAATGCTCCGGCAAAGCGCTGAGGCGCTAGTGGCGGTTGTTAGGCTCTGCTGCGTGTGGACGTGGAGGCTCCCCCCTTTTTTTTTAAATTTTACTCCCCTTTCCACCTTGGCATTTCCATCCGCTGCACTCCCGCGGCACCGCCGCACGGGGAAGTTTGCACTAGTCCCCAAAGGCATCCAGGGAGCGGGGGGAGGGGGGGCGCTCAGCTGCGAGCCCCCCTCACTGTCCCTAAGAGGCAAGGGGCTGCTGCACCGAGCTCCTTCCCCGCTCCCCGGAGTCACCTCTGCCGCCGGCGCCGAATCAACCCCCTTCGGCCCCCAGCAAGTAACCAAGCTCCTTCCAACCCCGCCGCTGGGCAAGGGGGCACGTAGCAATTCCCCCCACAACACAACACCACACCACACGCGCGCGCGCACACACTGAGGGCTGCTCCTGCTCCACAGGCTGAAGCGAAACCCATTGAAGAAGCAGGAGCGGACACCTCCCCCTCCCCGACTCGCAGCGCACCCCTAGTCCCTCCCCCTCCCTCCCTCCCTCGCTCGCAGCCTCTCTCCCCTACTACAGCCATCATGAATACTGTACATTCCTAAATGTTGCGCCGTAATCTTCCCCCCGTCTCTTCTTCCACCCAGCACTTTCCTCCGTCCCCAGCAAAACCTGGGGCGCCCAGGAAGAGCCCTCCTTTGTGCCCCCTCCCCTGCCCCGAGCG